TCAGTTATTTTTGTTCCATTAAAGGCGGATGGACTTTCTAAATTCCATTCTTCGAATTGTATATCTGGTAATATTGGTCTTCTATAGTAATTTCTAGTAGTTGGCATATTATGGGTAATTGGATTTGCATTAAATTTACTTCCTATTCTATTTATCTTTTCTTCATAATCTATATTTTCTAGGTCTCCTAGTTCTTCCTCGGGAATGTCTATTACATTAATTTTCTTACATTTAATTGTTCTAATTTTATATTTATTTCCTCTAATATTCTATCTGATTGATTTCTTATTTTGAATTCTTTATATTCTTTGTCAGATAGTCTTATAGGGTTTATTAAAGATTTTTGTAGGTCAGTTATTCCTAATGAATTTTTATTATTTTGTGAACTTTCTTCTTCAATAGTTTTTTGAGCTATTTGGTGTAATATTTGATTTGTAAAGTTTAGCTGACTATGCAGATTTTGAATATCATTTATGTTAGAAGTATCACTGATATTTCTTTTTCTCTTATCATTTTGAAGGGTGATGCAATTACTTCTTTATTTTCAATGTTAGGAAATCTTACTTCTTCGAAAGGAGGTATTTTACTTATTATTTCTTTACCTTTTTTGTTTTCCATATTTTACAAACATAATGCATAATATCAGGTCTACTTGCAGTTAAGTATAATAGTGAACCTATCATACCTCTATACATAGATTGATTTATCAGTTGATCCAAAAATGATATCATCAACATATACTTGAACTAATAAGATATGTTCTTTTACTTTCTTAATAAGATATTGCAGAATTTATACCTAATATTCGAATATTATGTAAACCCCTCTTTAATATATTAAGAAAAAATCACAAACCATGGACTCCAGAAATGACTAAAATAATAATAGAGGTTAAAAAATTAGTTAAGACCTTACCATGTCTAGGAATACCAAATCCAAAAGCAAAAATAATTATAGAAGCTGATGCTTCGATATAGGATACGGGGTATACTAAAACAAAAGTTACAAAATAATCCCGAACAAATAGTAAGATATCACTCAGGAATATGGAATGATGCCCAAAGGAATTATAACACTATTAAAAAGGAAGTTTAAAGCATAGTTTTAAATATACAAAAATTTCAACATGATTTAATAAATAATTTTTTTATTAAGAATTGATTATAAATCTGCAAAAGAAGTTTTAGGAAAAGATGTAAAAAATATAGTTTCAAAGCAAATATTTGTCGGATGACAAAGTTTATTATCTTATTTTGAATTCGAAATAGAATATATCAAAGGAAAAGAAAATTCGATACCGGATTTTCTAACTAGAGAATTTTTGCGGGGTCACACCCATGACAACCCCTCTAAAACCCCAGTTACAAGCTGAAAAGAGTAAAACCGAAAAGGGTCAAAAGTTCGACATTATCCTTAGATGACTTTGCCCCCTCATACTCGAAAACAATGACCACTCGAAAACTTCCCACCTCAATAACTACTCAACCTAATATATTTACCCCCCTAACACCACAAATTCCTTAACATTCTCCCCCTGAAAAAACCCCTTAAAAAAGAATTTCATATTAAAGAAGGATGCCAGAAGATTATTACTTTAGAAGAAGATTGAAATCCTGAAGATGTTTATGGAATACTTAGAAAACTAGCTCCTCCAGGATGGAGTTGGATCCCTAAATTAGAAAATTTGAATAAAACAAATTTTTTTTACCAATTTATCCTGATAGATACAGGATCTGCAGAAATAACCCTCATTCCTAATGATAGAGATCACTCTATTATTAGTTATTCAAAACTACACATTCTTAAAATTATTTCCTACCCAGAGTGGAACCAACATCCTTTGACCGATAAGAGCTTTTCGAGGTCCTTTGACCCCCCTTCATATAATTATTTCGAATACTAAGAAGTCTGAAACAAGATATTATTTGATACCAACCCTAGGCATTCATGGTACATATGTTTTAAAAAGGAAGTACCTAATACCCTACCAAATTGGTTTATTGATTGGTTTCATCAAATATGTCCGGTCCAATCTATAATCCCAGAAAAAATAATGAAAATGTATCAAAAATATAAAAGCCTCACTCCTTAATACCCTCCACATCTTAGAATTATAAAATTTTGTTCAACCATGGGAATAAGATAGCTTTTGGCCCACATTCCTGAAATCCATCAACATGAGGAAGAAACCTATCTGAAAACCCTCTGCTTAAAAACCAAAGTTTTTTGGTGGAAAAAATTTGAAACCCAATCTATAGAAGAAAAATTTGAAAATTGGAAGAAAATGGGTCTTATCACAAAAAAAAGCCCAATCCAAAGAGAAACACTATCCATAAAAGAAAAAGGAAAAGTCATTATCGACTTATCAAACCTCCCTTCCTCAAAAACAGAAAAAGCCCAATTAAGACAAAAAATGATTGAAGCCTTATCCTCATTGGGCTCTGATGAAGAAGGAGAAGAAACAGAAGCCATTATTAATTTACAAGATGCTCAGGATCCGTATGAAGATGAAGAAAATCCTGATTTTGACCAATTCTAGCAATCAATCCCATCAGAATTAACAAAGATGATTAATAACATTATGAAAAGAAGATCAACCAAAAAAGAGTTACAAAGAAGAGTTCATCACATTATGAGAAAATTGGAAGACGAAGACTTTCAAGAATTCCCCCTCTAAGAGAAAGCATCTTAGTAAGAAGCTGGGCTTAGCTGGCCCATCGCCCAACAGATGCTATGGTCCCACCCCTCAGAATAGAAACAGTTGGTTCTTCAAGCAAAGAAAATTAGGGCCCACATAGTGGAAAACAAAGTCCTTGTAATTATACTATTTTGTTTTTAGCGTCGACCGCCGAAAGTAAAGACGTGTCAATTGTAATTATATCTTTTGTTTTTAGCATAAGTGTCAATTGTAATTATATCCTTTGTCGGCAACTTGTTATTATAGTGTGTCAGTTGTATTATTGAATAGGAGATTCTTTAGGCCTATAAAAGAGTCAGTTGTTGAAGTAGCATTTACAGCTCTCCTCGAACCTTAAACTCTATCTTCCTCAGCCAATTCCTTCATAACCTAAGTTCTCAGCCTTCCCTTCTCCTCGAATAAATTTGAATATTATAAGCGTTTTACGAATTTTGTAATAATATTTTCATAATTCTATACTCTTCTCTTCTCTTCCGCTTGCGCTTATATATATATATATATATATATATATATATATATATATATATATATATATATATATATATATTTATTTATTTATTTATTTTAGAGGCGCGTAATGATCATGGCCTTTCTTGTGAAGAACAAAATGGGTTTATGGATCTACCCACAATACCTTCTCTCTTTCATTTTCATGCAATCAAAGATATATCCAGTAATTGAGATTAAGATCTGATCCAACCTTGTTAACTTAAGCTGTCACCAAACAACATAGTTAAGAGTAATGTCAGCATTTTAGTTAGTGTTCTGTATAGGTTGCATTGCATCATATTCTGCACTATTAAAAACAACAACTTGTACTCTTGTTAGAGATAATTAAAATAATAATCACTCTTTCACAACCCCTCAACCTTATTTTTAACCTATCCATTAAAACAAACATACCCCTAATGTTTAAAAATTGTAAGCATATTAATTTATCAACAGTAGCCATGTCAAATTGTAGGTAAGGTAAGGGCATTCACAAAGTGAATCATGACATGAGTCATGGAAAGCCTCATAATGCAATCATAAATTACTTTGAAAAACATAATGTTACATTAAAGATCATAAAAGAGTACATTTTTAGAAGTCTTAACAGGAAAAAGTTTTATTTTTCAATTTTTAGCATCTGTGAAATGACAAAGTAATGCGACAGAGGGTGATGTCCTTTTGTAAAAGGGTACAAGGAAATGAATTAATTAGTTTTTGAAAAAATAGTTTATTGGTAGGGTTGAAGGGGCCATTTTTGTCTATTAAGGACAGACAAATGGCCTTTCTGGTGTAGCAGAATTTTAAATCTGTTTTGGCAGAGAAGCTCGCGTACCATCGTTACTAACCAACAACACTCGCACACACTTTCTAAACAAACATTACCGCCATGACCATACCACAATGCGCCACTAACACCACACAAACACACCATAAAATAATTCAACTTTTCTTGTAATCTAAAGTGAATCAAATTTATAAATAGTTCTATTCTCTGTTCCTACCATTATGAATGTCTGATTAATAATAGCTCATGAGAAAAAGGTTTACTGGTTTAAGATTTGCAAAAACCATTTTCTGTTTTTATAAATTTGTTTGCTTTTATAAACACATTAGAAAATGTTTATTGCTCCAACACATTTATATTTTTTAAAACTTTGTTCTTTTGGACTTGAAGAACATAAAGAAGAAGATGTGAAAACGGCTCTGAACTTATCTGGTTTGTGTTCTTCTTGTGCGAGAATTAACATGCACTGGCCAAAAGTTCGTTAGGAAATTATGAAGAGAAAAACAAATGAAGATGATAGTTGTTAATGTTAATGTTGAACTAATATATTTATTTAGAGTTTAATATTAATACATCAATTATTCCTTAAAATAAGTTTTTTAAAAATAAATAAATTTATTATACACGATAATTATATAATAAATAACATTAGAATTTTGTTACATTTTTTTTTACATTATTAATAGATATATTTCATATTCAACTTTTTTATTTCATTTTTTAATCTACTTTTTATTTAATTATTTTCATTTTTTACTCAAATAATAATTAAAATATTTTATAATAATTTAAAATTAATCGTACATGAAAATTAACTTTAGGTTTAAAGTTTCACTTTTATTTAAATTTAAAAGAAAGGCAAAAGTAATAGAAAAATCAAAATAAATTGGCCCTTTTTGGAGGGAGAAGACACAGTCCAAACTCCAAAGTCTCTGCACTTCCATGGCCGGCACGTGACCCATTCTCTCTCTCTCTCAAAGTTACTCTTTCTTTCTATCACCTTCTTCCACTTCTCTTTCTCCGTCAATGTCTTCCGCCGCAGGCTATGCCCGCTCTTCCCAACGAGCCTCCGTCTCGCCGCTTCGCTCGCGGAAGTCGCCGGCGGGACCCGTCAAACCAGCCGGACGAACTACCACACCTTCCGCTTCCTCCACCTCGTCGAGGCAGTCGACCAAGGCCTCCGTCTCCCCGGTGTCCACCACAACTGTGGCCGATGTGAGCAAGGCGAAGGAGAATGTCACTGTCACCGTCCGGTTCCGACCCCTCAGGTTCGTCCGTTTCGCTTATCCTCTAGTTAGTTAGTATGTGTCTTTTCAATTCAAATTTTGTAAATTGTAATTATTATTATTAATTAATTATGTTGTTGTTGTTGTTGTGTTATGGGTAGTGGGAGAGAAATTAATAAAGGGGACGAGGTGGCGTGGTATGCGGATGGGGATCATATAGTGAGGAATGAGTACAATCCTTCCATTGGTTATGGCTTTGGTTAGTATTCTTATTCTCTGATTACTTTTCTCATACACACATATTAAAGTAACTTTTACTAATTATGTTCCATTTTTTCGTAATTCGATATGTGCATTCCTTCATTAAAATGCTGACTTTATTGGTTACATATATATATATATATATACATATATATATATATATATATATATATATATATATATATATATATATATATATAAAACTTATTTTTCCGTTAACTAATTAGAAATCACGGCAATTATGACTTTTAAGGTAGTTATGGTAAAAATCAATTTACTTATTTATAATTGAATGACATTGTTGAAATCATTTATGTCATAAGTGCACATACTATTTATGTTACGTATGCACAATCTACTTCATAAACACTTTTAGAAAGAAAAAATGAAATTAGCTTTTGCATAGGTTACTTTGTACCTAGCATAGCTAAGGTGGTTGGGGGAATTTATGTTGGGAAAATGGCTATTTGGTGTTAACATGTAGATTAGGATTATCGAACATTACCAAAAATGTTATTAGACGTAACCTAGTATCAGAATGTTTGTTGGTTATGGATTAAGTGTGTGTTTAAAAGAGTTTATTTAAATTTATTAGAAAGACTTGTATCTTTCTTATAAGTTTTTTTGTTTTAACATATTTGGGTAATAAGTGCTTTATATTTCAGTAAATTTCAGTGTTAACCTGTGATTAAGCTCTTGCATAATAAAATATAGATAAATCAGTTTGATGCTTACTTAATATACAAATTGAAATTCATTTTCCGTTTATGTACGTACTTAAAGAGTCCAACATACACTGTTTAAATTAGATTATCTCAAGATAATGATTTTTTTTTTGTGTGCTTGTTAAAGTTAACTTATTTGAAAAAATAATTATTTACCCATTTTATTGAAATTAGCTTATTAAAAGAAAACAGTTTTTTTTTTTTTTTTTTTGTGAGTGTGTGTGTGTTGATATTAACTTACTTTAAGAAAATAATATTTTTGGAAGTTTTTTAAAAAAGTTATGAAAAATGATTATTTACTCAGAATTGTTATTACACCAGCATTAACGTTATTACTTTTTGTGGCTTCAGAATTGTTTCACACCAGCATTCTCAATTGAAGAATGCAGAGTACATTACTGGTTGATTTTGTGCTTTCTTTCTGTGATGTTGCTTATTGCATATTTTCCTGTGGCAGATAAGGTATTTGGGCCTGCAACAACAACTCGGCATGTTTATGATGTGGCTGCTCAGCATGTTGTCAGTGGTGCTATGGAAGGGATTAACGGTAATGATTTGCTTCTATTTATGCATGTGTATGTTAAATTGTCTTTTTGAAATAGGAAGAAATTAATGGATTGAGGACTTATAGTAAGTTAATGATTTATCAATGGCCTGTAAGAAGGCTGCAGGAGCAATTGAATACTAATAATCCCAATTGATGTTAGTAACTTAGTTGGGGTATATAATTGAACTAAATAAAACTCCTGTTCCACTTGCGCATGAATACTGTGCAGAGTATGCTTATAGAAGAAGTAGGCCAATTATTGATACGTAAAGTGAGAATGGTTGAAGAATATTATAGCTAACTTCCAATTTTACTAGTGCTCAATTTTTTAGACTGGGCGTAAAGAGGTCCGATGGAAATTAAATTAAACAGTTGAAGGACTTTATTGGATGTGGTTAAAAAATTGGAATATTGGGATAGTATTTATACTGTTGTTTAATTTATTTTAATTTCCTTAGATGATGATATTTGTAGAGTCATTGTTCAGTTCATGACATCTTTTAGGTTATATATAACTGTGTTCCTCTTTACCTATTATTATCGATGGTAAATATGAATATTTTATTTATTTTCTTTATAGATTTATGGTAATCTTATAGGGAATTTACAGTAGGTAGATATTTCTTCTATCAGCAATTGTTTCCAAAAGTGTAGTTTATCACTTGTGAGACAACTACATATTTATGGTAAAGGAACAAGACTATGTTTCCTTGCCCAATTCATTTACCATTTTGGTTCTTGAGTACATTAAAAGAGATGAGGTCAACATGCTACACAATCTTTTTCTCCTTGGTACTCTTTTGGAATCAATAAATAAGGTTGTACTTCATATAGCCATGGAATAATAGCCTACCTACAGTTCATATTCATAATTAGCTTTTGTGAGAAGGGATGATGGTTGCTCCCAAACATGGCATTCCTTTGGTCTTATAAAATTTTTTATATTGTGACTGAGGTGGAATCATATTTTTTTCTAGCAAAACATATTTGTAATCTTCTCACTCTCTCCCTCTTACGCAAACCAAACATAGCACCAAACACAATACTGGCTAAATTTGCTTTGCTGATCTGCAGGTACTGTTTTTGCATATGGTGTTACTAGTAGTGGAAAGACTCATACCATGCACGTAAGTTAACTGTTTAATCATCTATCTAGAAGTGTCATCATATAAGGAACAAAACTTTGTTATTATTTTATGATCCCACAGTGATTGACAGTGGACAGTCAGACTGCTGCAAGACAAATCTTGTGGAATGGGATATATGGTTCTTGTTTTAGTTTTAATTTTTATTGTAGTTAGCTGTAGGAATAGGCTTGTGAGTATCCTTGTTATTTGCATTCTTCATAATATTTTTATATTCCCTAAAATCTTCTGATTTGTTTGAGATAAATTTTAAAGAAACAAGTTTGGCAGAAAGAATAGAACTTTTTTACTTTGTGGGGGTGTGCTATACTTAAATTTACAGGAAGGAATTATTAGGTTAATAATTTTAACTCTATTTGCTACTTTCAATAAATGTAGGCAACTTGGGAACGTGGAAGGTGTATATATATTATTATGTTGTTTCCAACAATTATAAATCTAGTCCCATAATGAGAATCACAATATTGGAGAGTGATATGTAAATGCCATGTAACTAAATGAAGTTATAACTTGTATTGGCTAATCATCTGCATCATCATGACTAGGAGTCTGGGAGCTTAAGAAATAATAAGTCATAAAATGAACACTATATCAACAAGTGACAAAACACTTATAAACAAGGCAAAAAATTCAAATTATAATATTCATCAAAATATTCCTCATCAAGCAAAATGACTTCGACAGATAAACAAATTTTGCTGAACCATCTATTTTGGGGAAATGATATTGTTCAAAGCATATCTGAGTAGATGTAAGAAATAGAAATGTTAAGGATGAAAGATAAACAGATCAGGTCATACATATGAAAATATAGTGGTAAATGTTGATCAAGGCTGCATTCCTATGTATGATGAGGCTTATCATAATTATCTTGTTTCAGAAGCACTTAACCATTTTCAAAATGTTTTAAACACTGAACAAGAACATAATAATTGATTGTGATAAATCTAATCTAATATCTTGAGAAAAAAAATCTATTATCTTGAGATAGCCAATTTGACATGATCTTGCAAATAAGTCATATTGAGTCCTAATCGATTATCTTATGTAAGATAGTATATCATATTGTTTAGGGTTGTGTTCAGACACATGGTTGCGCAGGTAAACAATTATTACAAGAATAATTGATTATATTGTTTTTGGTCAATTTCCAGATTTACTCAAGAGCAAAATAGTTGATTATCACATAATAATTGATTAATTCTCTTTCAAAAAGCTTTTCAAAGGAGTTGTAACAAAGTTGTCAGAACACTAATGTGTGGGTTTCTTTCTTGATAGGTTTTCCTGAGAGGGTGCATTTCTTGAGTGTTTCAATAGTGCATGTGTAGTGTGTATATAACTTTTCAAGAATTTTAGTGAAACAATCTAATTAAGGTTGTTTGGATTGAACTTGATGTAGGTTCTAGTACAATCGAACTCAGAAATTTTTTTTGGTGTAATCTTTCCAATCTCTTATCGTTTCTTTTGACTACTTGGCATTATTGATCTTTAAAGGCGTCCTTTTAAAGACAAATTGTTTACATGATTCAAGAAACATCTTTAGATGTTTATCAATCAGACGGAAAAGTTTTTCAACTAATTCACCCCATCTTAGCTGTATACAACCTTATTTTCTACAGTAAATCTCTAGTTATTTAATCTTGTTCCTTACTCTATTAAAAAAGAAAGTTTTGATATAATTTTCTTCTAGAATTTTAGCATGAAGCTGTTTCCCTAGCAAAAATAAAATAGTGCTTTCATTCTGCATATCAACAGTCCTGCTTTGTCTTTAAGGACATTTTTGTTGGTTGACTATAGAGTTGATGGCGCATCACATCAAAATTTTTACTTTTTCTTTTTTGTTTCCAAAGTTGTACGCTTTCTGAATCTGCTATATATTTTTCCCAGGGGGAGCAAAAATCACCTGGAATTATCCCACTAGCAGTGAAGGATGTCTTCAGTATTATACAAGAGGTAGAGTCAAGTTTTCCAAATTATACATTAAATCAGTTCATATCCTTGACAGGCTGTGTTTCTCATTTCAGACTCCTGGATGCGAATTCTTATTACGTGTCTCGTATCTTGAGATTTACAATGAGGTTAGCATCATGTACTAATGCTATGTTATATTGACCTCTCTCTTTATCAAGCTTCTTATACCTGTATAAGGGGAATTCATTTTTTAATTAGCAAGAATGGTGTCCAGATTAACTCCATTGTTGTTTGAGAATAACCCTGCAAATTATGAGGACACAATCTTGATTTTAGTTATGACATCAAAATGAAAAAAAAAAAAAAAAAAAGAAAAAAGATCAAGTTTGTTTAAATGCAAATGTGACATTAACTCTGAATGATTGCAAGTGAGATAGGATGGCACCGGTACCATTATGTGAGAGTGATCCTATTATACAAGTAGATGCATGGAAGTTTGAAACAGTATGAATGGTAGTCATGTAGTATTTGTTTAACAAAAAATGGAAGTTACATGTTTTCAAGCCCATAAAACTGTGTTGGTAAAAAAATAAAAAGCCTTTCCACAAACTCTGTTGGCTGCTGCAAAAAAGGCATACTTAGTAATCCTTGTCTTCTTGCAGTGGACTTACAATAATAATTTTGTCTTAAAGGCTTATCTTGGTTGCATCAGTCGTTACTTGTTAGGGAATGTAAGCATAAGGAGCTATGCTTTAAAAAAAAAAAAAAAAAAAAAATTCAAATATCTTTTGGCTCAATGTTGTATACCACTTGACTAGCAAGTGCAAGTCTAATTATTGGAATTATTTATTTTATTTTTGGCTTTCATCCCAGCAAATTTCTATGTAGACAACGCCTACCACAGGCATGGATCTATCATCTATCCTTGGTCATATATATTTATATCTTAACGAGTATCATTGTTCTTCAATTTTATCTGCTCTTGTTGTAGGTCATTAACGACTTGCTGGATCCAACTGGGCAGAATCTAAGAATACGAGAGGATGCTCAGGTATGTGTATTTATAATTAATGAGCTTGTCATTACTTATTTTCTGTTTCTCATCTCACCAAAAGCTTATCCAAGAGTCTTTTGGCTTTCCTTTTTTAGGGCGCACTATGTTGTTAGCTTTGTGTTCTCATTGTAAAAAGTTTCACTTGGTGAATTTTGAAAGGGCCAGTTTATCTTCAACTTCCGAATGTCTGATGTTTGCTTGTTGAAATAATAAGGCTTGAAAAGGGGGAAAGAGAGATTTCAGATTCTGAATAATAGGATATCAGATCATTATGGTGTATTCTAATATGATTTTGACTACCTTAGTTCTAGAAGTTTTAAGTTCCATCACTTCTAATTCTAGTATGAACAGGATTGATCCTAATTCTACCCTAAGAGATCCTGATTCGATTTACTATCAACCATAATTTACGTAAAACCTAATTCTTACTCTCATTACTTAATAGCTCGAAGCTAGCCAAATTTGGTATTTGTTGCTAGCAGTCTTCTTTGTTACACACAAACAGCTATTGATTCTTATTTTTTTATTTTACAAATTGCATAAAGAAGGCATGATATACATTTTAATTGAATCATATAATGACTACAAGGTATATATAATGGTGACAGGGTACTTATGTTGAAGGAATCAAAGAGGAAGTTGTGCTGTCTCCTGCTCATGCCCTTTCTTTGATTGCTACTGGAGAAGGTATAATAAACTTTTTGTGTTTTTCTTTGGCTTTCTTATTATTTGAAATCACTGGTAGCATTCGTTTCTTAGTTTTTCCTTTACAATGCCTTACATTGTGCTCTAACTGAAGCATGACCATCTATTTTACTTAAAATTTCCTTCCTCCTACAAATTTTATGAGATTTTGAGAGTTATTTAAGGTTGATATATTTCCTTTGGTCATGTATTGTTAGATTCTTATTGCTTCTAATTCATGCATTTAATGTCTAGTTTCCAAAATAATGCAGAGCATAGACACGTGGGCTCAAACAATTTCAATCTTGTTAGCAGCCGAAGCCACACTATTTTCACCTTGGTATGTCAAGACAATCTTCATATGCTTAAGATTTAAATGCACGCTTCCTTGTCATTTAACACTCCAAAAAACTTTCTATGATCTTAGATTTAAATTGTGTTCAACATTTTGATATTTGCTAATAATTTTCTATTTTTTGACGAAAGTCATTATTAAAATACCTGTCTTGATTGATACATTAGTATCATTGTAGTCTAGCAGCAGCAAAGCAACTGAACATAGGTGAATGTTGTTGCATTCTTAGTAATCATCTGCCTCTTATCTATGTTGCAGCCTCTGGACTCAATGTTGCATAATCCAATTATTAGAGTATTTCCATGGGTAATATTATTAAATCTTAAAGCTGTAGAATGCAGACATGGGTATTTAAGTGTCAATATATTATTTGACACTGGCATGGTGACTATTTTGAGGTGCCCATGCTTCTTATGGAGAAAAAAGACTGAAGTTCTGGATGTTAGAGAGCGCATCTATGGCAAGGAACAAGATTAAAAAAAAAATGTACTTTTTTTCAGGATTTATATTTTGGGAACATCTCACAAGAACTGTGAGAGGATCAGGTTATGGAGGATTCTAATCCTCCATTATAATCTTAAAATAAGGTTTTCTTGAGAGAAAATTGTTTCTCTTAATTCATGATACAATCCTTCTTATTAATACTATTTGTGCATTGAGTACATGAAGAGATAATTATAGAGCTAGTTAGCAGCTATTAAGCAGAGTCATAATAAAAATCTAAATTAGCATTCCCACGGTCCCAACTATTTAATGTTTGCTTTAATGGCCGTTCAGAAGCTACACAAAGAAACAACTCCTGACAGATGTAAGATACTACAATCATAAGAGGCATATATTTTAGTTTTTATTAAGAGATTACATTACATATTTATCTTTTGAACCTTTGGTAAAACCCTGATAGGACTTTAGCACAAGATGACAGTCTAACCCTTATTATTGGGTTATTTATGTTAGGTCTGCACTAGTTACTTTACAGGTCAATTACACGATCGAAGTGAAAGATATTATCATATAGCTCTTTTTCTTTCGTTTCCTTGTTTACACTCTTCCAAGTTTTAAACTACTTTTTGTGACTTCAGAGTTATATTCTTTCATGGATTGCTTTAATTTCATGTGAAGCTAGCTATATAACAATTTATTATGAATGTGTTTTCATCAATCATAATTGGGATTCTACTTTGTTGTTGGTTCTACTTCTTTATGTGGCTCTTAATGCTTTAATGAATACATTATTTCTATCAGACTGTTGAAAGCAGTTCACGAGGGGAAAATATAGGGGAAGAGGATATAGCATTGTCCCACCTGGTAACACTCATAAGACCAGGATTCTTATTACTATATTGCTCTAGTAAATGGTTCCATCATTTGTTTATTACCACTTCTAAGAGCTCCTTCTCCTCCCCGCCCCCCTTCCTCCTTTTCCAGCACTTAATTGATCTTGCAGGGTCAGAAAGTTCTAAAACCGAAACAACTGGTTTGCGAAGGAAAGAAGGTTCCTATATAAATAAAAGCTTGCTTACTCTTGGAACGGTAAATTATACTAATGTTTTAAATCTCAGTTTTTCTCTTCCCCTATTTTATACATGATATTGTAGTTGTTTCAAAGGATAGTTACTGTACATATTTCTTGTGTTTGCTTGAGTTTAGTCGTGTATTGAATATGACAATATTTTTCTCTTCAGTAATAGCTTTTGTAATAACTTGTTCTTGAGCTTTATGTTTCATTTTCTTCCTCTCTTAATTGCCTGGAGTGCATCTGTGTCTGCAGTAAGTCTATATTATACGGCTAAAAGTAACAAATCTTGGTTGCATTTCTAGTATTATGCTGTGCTGCCAGCTTGTAGTTTGCTCTACATGTGTAGGTAAGGTAAAAAAACTTAACTCACTAGAAGATAAAGGAATGCAGTACTTTTCATTGAATAATTATCTGTTTAAATACAGATTTTTTGTAAGGGAAAGAAATTCTAATAATAATATGTTGAAATACAGATTTTGTAATTCTAATAATTGGTTTAAATACAGATTTTGTAGCAGAAATAAATAACAGAAGAAAATAACTGTCCTAGAAACTTGTAGGCCAAAGAAAAACTGATACGCAATTGCTGGCATGGTCAAACATGTAAAGAATATCAATGGATGCTCTGATGGTTTACATTTCTTACACTGTGTAACATTCCCATTCTCAAATTTTGTTAAGTGAAGTAATTAATTTTTTCTATCTTGTTTCTGCATTGCAGGTGATTGCTAAATTAACAGATGGAAAGGCAACTCATATTCCTTATCGAGATTCAAAGCTCACTCGATTGTTACAATCATCCCTTAGTGGCCATGGACGGATTTCTGTTAGTACAATTTCTCTTTAAATCAGCAAGTTGAAATTTGTATACATTTGCACAGCTAACTAATGTTTGAAATGGTTTGGTTGTTGAAGCTCATTTGCACAGTTACTCCCGCTTCTAGCAGTAGTGAAGAGACACACAACACATTAAAATTTGCTCACCGGAGTAAGCATGTTGAAATCAAAGCTTCTCAAAATAAGGTCAGTTTATGTGAAAAATACTGATAATGTGATAACCTCTTGACACATATATTCATGCTATCTAACTTTAAGCTGATTCTCTGTACAAGATTATGGATGAGAAATCTCTGATCAAGAAGTATCAGAGGGAAATTTCTGAGTTAAAGCAGGAGCTTCAGCATTTAAAGCGTGGCATGGTTGAGAATCCCAATATGGCCACATCTTCACAAGAAGATCTGGTTACTTTGAAGCTCCAGGTTTGTGCTGAGGCATATGTCTTGGGTCATTTAAAAAGTGTCACTGTAATTGGTGGGAGACTTAAGTGTCTTGAATTTTAACAGTGATATTTACTTTCCTCACTGCACATAAAACTTTTATCTTTATTTGGTATGGTGTTCTTCCACAATGAACATTAGTTTACTATGTCATAGCTTGAAGCTGGCCAATCCAAATTGAAGTCAAGATTGGAAGAGGAAGAACAAGCTAAAGCTGCACTGATGGGAAGAATTCAGCGTCTAACCAAATTAATCTTAGTTTCTACAAAGAACGCAATGTCATCAAGCATTCCAGAAAGGCCCAGCCATAGAAGAAGGCATTCTTTTGGAGAAGATGAGGTGTGTTTTTTACAATGGTACTCCAGTTAGTGCAGCAGTCGATTATATGCTTTGGAATTTGATCTTTTAAGGTCTTGACTTTTAATCAATGTGTCATTTTTACAAACACCTTTCCAGATTTATGTAATGGTTAGTAAAATTGTAAATACTATTTATGTTAATGACAGATGTCCATCTTCTTTGAATGCAGCTAGCATATTTACCAGATAGAAAACGTGAGTCCTGGATTAATGATGATGTAGGGAGCCATGCTTCAGTTCCTTCACCAGAAGAAAAGGATGAGGTTACCAATTTTGATGAATTAGGGAAGGATTACAAAAGAAGCAAAAGGCGTGGAATGCTTGGTTGGTTGAAGCTAAAAGTATGTAGTTTTCCTTTTTTTATTTGAACTATATTATTTATTATTTTGAAATAATTGACTAGCTGATTGATAAATACACAAGTTAATATGAATGCATAGAAAAAAAAAAAATGTCAATTCATAAATAATAGGTCACTAAAGATGAAGGACTTTTTGCCTAGTGTGGATTTGGATTCGGTGAAAGTAATACTTGTTAACCAACCAATAACATTTGCCACCAATGCAGAAACCTGATAATGTTGATGGATTATTGCCAAATGTTGATAGTGAGGGGTCTGCAAATGGGTCACCTGCATCTGCTTCAAAATTAACTCCAACTAGAGTTATGCTTTATGACATGAAAGATTCACGCAGGAATTCAGTCAGCAGAAAGGACAATGCCCCAGCTGTCAGTTCTTTTCCAGGAAGAACTCAAGCTGGTGATTTGTTCAGTGTAACTGTTGGTGGTCGGCAACTTCCTCCGGTAAGATCTCAAATACTAGTGATCAATGTTTCTGGAAAGATACACTATACATGTATCTTGAAATTTGTGAATTTTGTGGATCTGAACCATAATTGTGCTGAATGATTCTCTTGCAGACTGGGACTACTGTTACAGATCAAATGGATCTTCTGCGGGAACAAGTAAAAATGTTGGCTGGAGAGGTGGCATTCTGTATTAGTTCTCTGAAAAGACTCTCAGAGCAAGCTGCTAACAAGCCTGAAGATATCCAATTACAAGTGAGGTTTTTACTTGAGATAGACGAATGAAGAACAAATTTAATATTTCATAGTAAAACTGGGTTGATTATTTTGGTGATAATGACAGGAGGACATGCATAAGTTGAAGGGTGAAATAAGTCAAAAGAAGAATCAGATCCGTATCCTAGAGCAACGGATGATTGGATCCCTAGGACATGCACCAAGTAATAGCGAGATATCTCAGGTAACTAAAATTAAAATCTACTTGAAGCAACCCTATAATTACAGCAATTTTTTGGTGAAAAACAATTGAAAGAATTCTATTGAATTATGTATCTTGCTATTCTTTCATGCTTATGTAAATTTGCATTGTGATAAAATGTTTTATACCTCCAAATATCATTGTAGATGTAATGGATAAAATCCCATTGTGTATATTTCATGTTATCACTCATCATGATGAACAAAAATAAAGGATTATGTTTAGTGCAGTGTGCTACAACCCAAGGTAAACAGTTGTATTATCCAAAAACAGTCATAAAGAAATAGTCAAGTAACATGATGATCATCTGCGTTATTTAAACCTTCTTCATGGATTTTTCTTTTCTTTTTTCAAACTAGTAATTGTTATGATCAATCAATACATCATCATTTCATCCTTGCATTTTTATCATATTCAACATTATGTTTGTGTTGTTGCCCTTGATCTGCTGTATTCACTCAGTAAAGTTGAATAACAAGAAATCCTGTAAAATTAGATTTCATCGTAAACCAATTGGTATTAATTGAAGTTACCCAACAAATATATAAACTACACCCCAGGAAAAGAGAAAGACTATGTATGACTTTCAACACTCCCTTGTTCCTCGGATGCCTACTGAACTAGACAATACACACCGGAAGTGACGGAGATTTCCTTCACAAACCACAAAAGCAATAAAAATGGCCACGATTCTATGTTATATTCCATCTTAAAACACATTTTGCGTTGAGTAAAGTTCAACAAATATGTGGATCATGTTCAAAAATGAATTATAGGTTTTAGGTATAAAAGGGAGTAAGAAAAATGAAACTCTAAATTGATATTAATTGTAGTAATCAATCTCTGATAGTGGCGCATAATGGCTGACCTTAAACACACAATAGTGGTGTAGCACATGGCTGGAAGATTATTATTTTGGAAATTTTTATACATCTTATATAATTCCATACTAAATACATATAAATGCTCAAAATATTAAAAATAATTACTAAATCATCTTGATTTGTTCATAATTAACAATAAAAAAAACTATAGCTCTTGTTGGACAAGTCTCATCTCGCCTTAGTCAATTATTGGAGTGTTATTATATAATTGTTGAACAACTTCATTTATATACTAAATTATTTTAACTGTGACGTCCCTTATTTGCCTGTGACAGTATCTGCTATGTGATATAGCAAATTTTGGAATTCCACCATTTTCTATACCAAAGAGATGGTGGAAAAAGGAGTCAATGAGTTTGGTTCTTTAGGATAGACTAAAATTACCTCCATATAATTCCTCTCTAACTATACTCAGGATTTTGGACACCATCAGCGTAGTGATGCTATAATACTGTGAAATGCAGCTATCGTGGCCAATGAAACTGCTCCAGTTAAGTGCAGTGCCTATGACAGTACATGTAGTGGCCCTGGGCCACTACATACCTTTATAGGACGCAATTGAAAACCCTCATATTAACTGAGATGGGCGGCAACTGTATTGATCTCTTTGTAAAACAAACTTAGAACACTAACCCTAATTTATACTAATCATAATCTTAGCTAATTAGGGAAACAAATGATAAGGGAATGTGACCAGTTTATAAAGGAAATAGGGAAATTAATTTTTGAACAAAATCTAGAGATATTTTCATATATTGGAAAAGACTGCACCAAGGTAATTTAGGTGGGCGATGGGTGACTTTCCAACAAAGGATGTTCTGGGACTACCTTTGATAGAAACTTCTGTAGTTGACCATGGTCATTAATCCAATGGGTTTGGTTTGGGTATCTAAAGGGTCCTATGCTTAATAAATGAGAACTTAAAATATTATTTTCTCTTTTCTTCCATTGTCGAGAGATACTTCCCCACCTTTTCTTTTGGTTAAAAAAAAAACTAACATACCCAATGTTTTAGTTGAATTTTCAGTAGTGTGTAATGACTCTTCATTTTTAAATGGTTCGTGATAGCGTAGTTTGCAATTTTGTTATGTATTGAAGACCTTTCTCTCTTTTTTTCTAAAATAAAAAATGGGGTATATTTTATTGGTTAACATCAACTAACATATTACTTAATTCTAATGTAGGCTCTATGCAAGCTTACCACTGAACTGAATGAAAAATTTTTTGAACTTGAGGTAGGTTGTCTTGTCCTCTTGTCAGTTTCAGGATTGATTCATTGCATTCGAGTAGCATAAATCTGAGTATTATTCTAAGGCATTCTCTTGTGTGCATTGAGCATTCAGATCAAGTCTGCAGATAACAGGATACTTCAAGAGCAATTGCAGTTGAAGGTATATTACACCATTGTATGACCTTTTAAGGGGACTTGTTGCAATTCCTGACATTTGCTTAACTTCTACAGAATGTAGAGAATGTTGAGATGCAAGAGACAATTATTTCACTAAAGAAACAGATAAATTTGTTGGATAAAACCTCAACTAATTATCACCACGTTGCTGATAATGAAACTGACTGTTCTAGAGACGTATTGGGAAAGTCTGGTGAAGCACAATCAGTCAAAAACGTGAATGTAATAGGCACTCAAGCACAGGAAGGAAGTAGTGATGCAATTATAAGTTCCCAAATTCTTGTGCAGGTTATCTCTCTTTCTGGCACCTGCTGCTGATGGAAACTTAAAACAGATAAATTTGAGAACTGATTCCTATATGTTTTTGCTTGTTTGTGTTTCAGTAGGAGTGATATAATTTTACTGTTAAAATTGTGCAGGCAGCTGAAATAGAGAATTTAAGGCAAGAGAATGTGAGATTGGTGGAAGAGAAAGACGGGCTTGAAATTCAAAGCCAGAAACTTGCAGAGGAAGCTTCATACGCAAAAGAGTTGGCGGCAGCTGCAGCAGTTGAACTCCGAAACCTGGCTGAAGAAGTGACTAAACTTACATACGAAAATGCAGAGCTGAGTGGTGATCTGGCAGCTGCAAAAGAGACATTTGGTAAATCAAATTTGTCTCCAACATCTTATGAAAGCAAGCAAAATATTAATAATAGTTTTCAACGAGATGGTAAATCGAAAAAGCTGGGGAATGAATTTCTTATTGAGGAGTTGCAGAAGGACCTTAATGCTAGACTCCAAAGAGAAGCTGCATTAGAATCAGCTCTATCTGTGAAAGTCGAAATAGAAGCTGAACTAAGAAGAACACTTGATGAAATAAAACACCAAAAACAAGATTTGGAATATGAGCTTACAAGCATGCAGATACTGATGTCAAAGATGAGCAAGTCTGGCATGAATGTTGAGGACAAGTCAACAGTTCATGTGCCCAATGATGCACAAACCAAGGTTAAACATGGATATCCAACATCTAATGGTCACTCTCGTAGAAAACAATACCAAGAGATTGAAACTTTAGGAAGCATGGTAGATATGAAAGCATTGGAAGAGCTGAGGGCTAATTATCAAATAGAGAGAAGAAGATGCAAGGAACTTGAAAGTTATCTTTCTATATTCAAGGTATCTCATTCAAATTATCACGTGTCATGTTTCATTTATGTTCCATGATAATATGAATCATGCTAATAATCTGCATTTAGGAATTTCTTCATGACTTTTTAATTAAGATTAGGGGGGAAGAAATGATTTTAGGTGACTGCTTTTTAGGAGAGATGATGAAGAGAGAGAAAATTGAGAAAATGTAGACTGGTAAGGGAAGAACAATGAGATGTATTCTCATGATAAGATACGATTCTAATGGCAAGTTCTATAAACTATAATTATAAATAATACAAATAGAAATTTCTGTCAAAGAAATGTAATTAGTAAAGACATATGGATAGATGTTTCAACGATATATCAGAGTACAAGCATAACTGCGTTTGGATCTGAAATAATTGACCTGCGTCTATAGAGGCTTAAGGATTCTACGTATTTATGTTTGGAATTCAGACGCTAAATTTGGGGAAACGGGAATTTTAAAAAGTGCAAAATATAATTGCATAAACATCTGGAATCTCGTAGTCAAATCTCTTGCGAGCTTAAGGTTCCCCATATGGCTAAAAGACGACTGTAACCAGGGAGATCAGCTACAAGAAAACAAGTAACTAGCAACCGCGTATAACTATTCTCTGGGGAATTTGATCTTTCCACACGGTGCAAAACTGTCATGAATCTCGTTTTTCTAGTTTTCTTTGGAGAGTAGGATTCATTAATTGTGCAGAATAGTTATTTCCGTAGGTGGTCATGGATCTTGCATCAGATAGGCGTAGACTTTGTTTTCTGATTTACCTACGTGAAGAAAGATGGGTAAGGAAATGATTTATATTGCTTTAAAATATGTAATAGGGTGAGAATATCGCTGGTCTGGATGTTATGGCTCTTGAAGAACTACAAAACCTTCATATTGAGGCAATAACAAGGATTTGCCATGCAAAGGTGACATTTCTTGCTTGCTTGTCCTTTAACAATAATTATCCCTTGCCAAGTCTTATTGAAGGGAATTTAATATTTTGCTTCTTCCCTTGAAAATTTTAATATATATCAAGAGTCATATATTAAGTTGGTTTTTTTTATTATGCTCATTTATATCGTGGAAATGTAAACATTAAAGTTGATGTTTCCGTTATATTCACGTTGTATGGTGCTATATATATATATATATTTTATAACCCGCTTTCTAACTTACCTTACAATACAAAAAAAAAAAGCGTTTCTTGTACAAAAGATAATTTCCTTTACCTACTGTATGTCGGGACAATTTCTTAACAATGGTACTAAATTGGCAAATTTATATATCGATATTATGAATTTTCATTGTCTTAAGGGGCTGTATATGCTAAGAAGAGCCCTGAAGTTAAACTTAAAACTGTAGACTTGCATTGATCAGTTGATAAGAAACAAGGGGTATCTTATGGAGGGAAAAAATGAGCAATGTTCTACCCTTGTTTCTTATTGAACAGTTCTATTTTGGGCGGTATTTGTCAGTTATCTTTACCTAATAATAATATTAAGACCTCCCTGTGGTGACTGATTTTACATCTTGCAGTACGCAAATCAAAACTTGTAGCATCATGCTGTTGGCTGCTGTGAGTATAACGGACGGAGTATTCGAAGTTAGTAGCGATTCTTAAACATGCAGTACTGATTTTTTTTTTCCTGACTTGAGATTCTGGTTTTTACTTCATATGTATTATTATTGCAGATACAGTATACTACATAACTTAAGAAAATACTGACAATCATCCTTGTGCTGGTGTATGGAAGCAAAGAAGGCCTCTCAGCTAATTCATGTGAATAACTAGTTGCTAGTGATGGGTATTGAGGCCACTCCACTTGATGAATTTTTTGCTAGCAAGGATTCGTAACTGTAGCTTGTATCATCTGGTAGTTGTCATTTACAAATTCACAAAATGAAGCTTATGAAGCAAAATTGTACTAAGGTCACAAAAAGAAATCTATGTATATATATATGTTGTGCCATATGGAATTATAGATGCTGTCTAATGTACATCCGAGGACCCTCTTCCCAACAACTCATTGATCGTCTATATCTTCAGAAGATGCAGGGCAACCGTTCCCAAAGATACCGAAATTGGCTGCATTTGGGTGTGGAAAATCACCTTCTGAGTCACGCTCCACACTGTTGTGAAAAAGGGAAAAAGAAAATTCCATGTAAAACTTGTTGGCGTTTACAATTATATAAGAAATTATAAGATAAATTTATCACTTGGGAAGCCTATCACAATTTGAAGAAACCCATCCAATCTGCTGCTTCTCATTGTCATAAATCACCATTTTATCTTGTAAAGAGATGTCTGAGAGAAAAAAAGGCGTATTACCACCAAAATAATCAAATAGAAATAGAAACTAAAGTGGTATTATTTATACTTGAGATTTGGCATGGCTTACCTCCTATTATGTTGAGATTTTCTAGTCCTACTTCAGTGCCATCTAGAATCCCCAAGCATACATTCCCATGTTTCTGGAAAAGAACGGCATGTTAGACTATTTCATTTGTTCCCTTAACTTGACATTCAGTCTTAAATGGTGCTCACAGTGATAATAAGATAAGCTTCAGGTGGAAGATCCATCTGCACATTCTTAGTTTTTGTGAAGCTCAATGCAAGGGGTTTGAAGTATTTCTTGACATCACTTATCGATTTGAAAGACTTTGGACCCTTCCAACAAATTGGAAGTGATGGATCCCCGGCTTCTCTTGTCAACTGTTTCCCCTTTAAATCATTAGTCACCTGAATTATGGATCAAGGATTATTAACAGAAGATGGCTGACTAAATATCTGTTGGCCATATAAGACAATGAAATTGATGGCTGAAATTGAGGCCCTCTAATCTTACCAAATTTACAATATCTTGATACGCTATGGAGTTGAAGTATGTGTAAGAGCTCCCACTATCGAAGATAAGTTCAAGACCCTTGACATTAGTAGGGTTTCCATTGAACAACAGCTCTGCTGGTCCTGAGCTGTAGTGTTTTCTGAAGCAATGATTGTTTGCAAGTACTCATGAGTGGCAACAGATGATTCATGTATGAATCTAAAACATCTCAGAAGGAACAAATGACATAAATTATAACACTTACTCCGAAGAACTAGGCAGCATGGATGTCCAAAAAATTCCTGAAGAGGGAATGGGATCATCTCCAAAGAATAAAAACCCTCCTCCTCCTGTACTTAAGCAGTGCCCAACTACATTGCGGATCAGACCCAAAGAATGAAGCTGTATTAAAATGCTTGCTCTGCCGTTGCCAAGGCCAAGGACTCCTGCAGTAGAAGGTGGGGCGGTAGAACCAGAATACTTTTGATCATATCCGCACCTACCCATGTGCATCAAACAAAGCAACTCTTAACTCTTCACAAAGGAGAATGGTAACTTTTTTCCTGTCAGCAGATTAATTTTGTTTTGTTGCCCTATTTACTGAAGCAAAATTTCTCCATTTTTTTCGTTAACATCGTGACTTCACCAGTACAAATTATCTAATTTAGTCCCATTTGAATAAACTTCTCTATAAATACGTGTAAAAGAAGAAAATTAGAAGATAAAATTAATTGAGCTTTTACCATAACCTAAATTCAACTTACGCAAAAGTTTTAGAAAAATTGGATGACAAAACTTCTATGTAAGTGCAGAAGTCAGTTTTAGCTCATGGGAGGTCAATTCATTTTACCTACTTATTTTCTTCGTCTGTAAGCGGTAATGGATAAGTTAATCCAAAAAGAACCTTACCAGCAGAGACAACCAGTGTCACTCCTGAGGATGGAAACAAAACACTTACCCAAAGGCTATCTTAGGGCGCGCCACAGAGCCATTGGTGAATTGAAAAGGAATGTAGTCCCGCACTAGCACACCCAGAGATGATCCATTATCTGCATACTCAACTTCATAGTCACATTGGTCATCTGGAGAAGCACAATTATGGTCTGTTGATAAGTTCACTTCAGAACACAATTGGTCGACACATTTCACAAGGTTGTGATTGGGTTTATAAAGTTGATCACGAGGCTGCAAAGATTGACAACAGGTGAATACTAATTCTGTGGATAGAATGATTTGTTATAGTACATACTTCAGAAAGAGCCCTAATCTTAGTTTAAGCATTGCATACCTTGGTGCAACCTTTACATGGTGCATCACACTGAACCCAAGTGATGTCACTACCTGAGTCTATGTCAAGGTCGTAAAGCTTAGGGGGATACCCAATGTTGAGAGACACTGTGTAATGCCTGCATAAAGAGGATAAAGATACTTTTCATGGAGCCATCATATTTTAAACTTGAACATTATAGACCAATTCACTTTAGAAATTCAACGACCATATTTCCTTGTGTTTCCCCCAAAAATATGAATAAGCAAAAAGTTACTTATTTTGTGAAAAGAAATGGGGTCCAATTACCCACCCCACCCCCAAAAAAATAAAGTTCAAGAAAAAAGTTGGAGAGGCTAGTCAAACCTACTTTTCATTCTTTCTCTAAATAAAATTAGAGATTGAATGGTAGGTAAAACTCAATGAAACAGCAGATATGAAAAAAAATAAGAAAACTGGATCAGTAATCAAATCTACAAGAACTGATCATAAACAGAATTGCATTTAAAGTATATATGTATGTATATATATATATATATATATATATATATATATGGGAAAACAGGTCAAGGATGTTTCAAAGAATTAGCGCAGCTGAACTCAAAACAGAATTACGAGAACGAAGTCATCCAAGAAAAAGTAAACATTCAGTTATACTAAACAAAAACTGAGAAAAAATGAACAGTAAGTGACGAAGAAGATTGAACAAAAAATCATGATAGAGTGACAACATACCCAAGAGGATACACATTCCCCTGAACTTTGAAAACAGCAGCGGATGAAAGGCGATGTGGGGTGGCGAGGTTCTTGACTTTGTGGGGTTGATTGGCTGCTGAGATAGAGAACGAGGAAATGGCAGAAAATAGAAGAAGCGTGAGCAATGCTATTCCCTTGGTTCGAACATCCATAGTAGGAAAGAACTTTATAAATGAAAAAGGGGCAAAAGTTGCAATGCTTCAAGGAAAAGTTGTCCTAGAAACAAGTGAAGAAATCAAGAAAGAAAAGAGAAGAAAAGGGAAGGATTTGGTTCTGAGACTGAAATGGAAAAAAAAGCCTTATCTGCTCTGCGGTGTCTATTTTCTGGCTTAAGGTTTTGGTCGGGGGCAGTTGGCACTACCAACGTTATTTAATGCTTTATTAATATCAAAGTTTTTTTATTATTGATTGGAATTTTTTGTGTGAATTTTACAAGTTATTCAAAGTGTTTGTTCCATAAATCACGAATAATGAAAATTATGATTTCTAAAAGTAATTAAAACAATTTATGCTTGAGAAAAGTATATATATCAAAATTCCTTGAAAATGAACAAGTAATATATTTTCTAGAATTTTATTTTTCTACCATGTTAAATAATATGATAAGAGAAAATTATATTTTCATTGTATAATTTTAAATTTTATTTTCAATGGCTATTCTTGTGTAAGCTAAAAACTTAACTTTCTTCAATTTTAATTACTTTTATTTTTTTATTAAAATTTAATAGTATATGTACTTATTCTATCTAAAATTATTGGACCAATTAATCGTGTTCACACTGTCTAAATTTATTAAAGATATTATTTTTATTTATTTTGTTATTAATTATCTTTATTATGTTATAATATCTTATTTTAGTTATTATTTTTTGGGTTATCAATTATTATATCTCAGCTCATTATTTTCCATATGAATATAATTGGTTGTTCGGACGTATAACTTATTAAAAGACCTTGATGGATAAGCAAAACAAATGTCCATTAAGGGTTTTGGTTGTAAGGCACACAATATGACATGTAAAGCCACTTCTAAGTGGAGGTTTGGTATTGAATTTGAAACTCGTGATCCATAAAGCTTTGAAGGGACTCGTTTTCACCTTGTTTCGCACCTTCCAAGACTACTGATGTGGCTTTGTGTATATTATTGGTCGCAAACCTAACTTGGAATTGTTCTACCAACATATAGTATGAATCTATGGAATTATATGATAGAGAATTATATCATCGTAATGTCGCTCCTCTCATTGTGGTGGAAAACACTCGAAAGATGATGACTCCACTGTTAGTATACAGTTTTACTTGTGTCTTGTATATAGACAAATGTTCCTCTGGGTCTGTCGTCCCATCGTGCTTTTCCTATGTCTAAAGATTTCCAATTAGGTGGGAGAGGTGTTTGCATGATTCTTGGGACAAATGGGTGGTCGTTGTCCTCCTCTTAAATTTCGATTCTTTGGGTTTATGTCGGTTGACTCAAGGTGGAGCTTGTATGGTAGGTTCTTTCAAAGGCGGGAACCAAGGTGTGACTTCGTTAGTGTGTATATGTCTTCTCTGCTCCCTTGAATGATATGCCCTCCTGGAGTTTGGAGGTCTGTCTTTTGGTTTAGGTGGAATGTCGGCTCCTTGGACGGAAGCTTTAGGTTGTTTTTGATCTCGAACTTTTGAACCTATTTTGTTGGTCGAGGCTAAGGACAGTTCGGTTCATGATTGATGTGATGTTACGATTTCTTCCTTGTACGTATTCGACCTAGTTGTTTGTGGTCGTTGGAGTAGCATTTTCATTTCTTTAAGCAGTGTCTGAAACTCAGTCTGACCGCCTTTTGTTGAATTGCTTGATATTGTCTCCAAACTGTCTCTAATTCTTTGGTTCCCTTTGTTGGATCTAAAGTAACTTAGCATTGTTCTACTCTTATAAATTCTTTATTTCTTCTTGAGTTCTCTGTTGACACTCGACCATATGATTCTTAATGCTGTCAATGATGACTGAGAAATCCATGTTACTGAGGTTGGACACCGTCTGGCTATGGGTTAGAACCATAGGATGAGAGAGATCATGGGAGACGTTTTACTGGACCCCACAGTGAGCCCCAAAGTTCCAATTAAGGACCGAGAATGTCCTGACGTCATGTCTGTTATGATAACATCATTAGGGTCAATTCTCACATTCGAGGTATTAGGGGTGTTAGATATTGTTTAGATATTGTTAGATATTGTTTAGATATTGTTTGATATTGTTAAGATATTGTTAGATATTATTAACCACAATATCAAACAATATCTTTTGTTTATTCTGTTTACTTTCGGTTACTTTTTTAGTTGTACCTCTCTTTTTTATAAATAGATTACCCTATGTGTGGTTTATACACAAGAAAGATTAATCTCAAACCCTATTTCCTCTATATTCAACATGGTATCAGAGCTTAAGGTTATTTTGAAAAAATTTCACCTTTGTCCACTGTTGGAGTCGTCACCGCCGCCGCTGCCGGTTAAACTAATCTTCCACATCAGAAAATAGTTATTTTTGTTACTGAATATTATTTGGTAGTGTAAAAGTACATGTCTAGGAAGGTTCTGACAAGGAAATACTTGGTATTTAAGCGTGTCCATTAGTGACCCACCTCTCTTTCCTGAGAACTTATTTGGTATAGTGGTTCACGCCATTGTCACCACCGTCACCGCCTCCGCAGCCGCCAAGAGTTTCATTTTTTATCGGCAACATACAATTTTGTTCATCTTGGTCAAGCAACCATCGTACCATTAAGATCATCACTATCGGAGTTGGTCCTCCGTTATCTTTTGCGCCATTTAGTCTCGACGGACTTGTTTTGGTCTTCTCGTTTTGGATTTATGCTTCGTGGGTTGATTGGATTACTTTGGATTTTTTTAGGGTTTGTTCTCCCACCCTTCATGACTTTTTCTGCTCCTTCTACTACTTCCAATTTTGTTAATGATTCTTCTGCGTTGGCATCTCACCGTAATGACTGGACTCGCCCTCGCAAACAGGGAAAATGATGTCCTAAGTATGAACATTGTGGCAAACTAGGTCACAAGATTAACAAGTGTTTTACATTACATGGTCGTCATCCTCAATCTACTACAGTTGTTCAGATCGATTTTTTCCCACCTTTGTCTACTGGGGATCCTCCTTCTTCTATTGCATCTGACATATCTACTATGTTCAACAAATTTCTCAAATGGTATAAAGATCAATAGTATTCTAGTTCCATTATATATGTTGCATACACAGGTACATATTTTGCTAGTCTGACTCAATCCTCTTCTCCTGGTCCTTGGATTTTTTATTCAGGAGTCACTGATCATATTACTGGTAACAAATCTTTGATCTCCTTTTTATCCTTTCCTAATCATTTACCTTCTTTAATCATTGATAATGTTCTTTATGTCCCTGGGTCTCCTTTTAACTTGTTTTCCATCAATTGTCTAACTTGTTCTCTTGATTGTTTTGTTTCTTTTACCAAGAATTATGTGTGTTTACATGACCGGAGTTCGAAATAGGTGATTGACACAAGATGTGAGTTTCATGGTTTTTATCATCTACGTCTCTCTACACATATTGGTGCAGTTATGGAGTCTCCCTCTCTTCTTCATGCTCAGTTAGGTCATCCAAGTTTTGCCAAGTTACAGAAGTTTATCCCTGCCTTGTCCAACTTGTCTAATTTGGTGTGTGAGTTGTGTCAATTAGGAAAGCATAGTCGTACTTCCTTTCCTCGTAGTATCACACAAAGTGTTTCGTCCCTTTTTGTTATGGTTCACTCTGACATTTGGGGACCTAGTCGCGTTAAGTATACTTTAAGTTTTCAATACTTTATTACTTTCATTGATGATTATTCCAGATGCACTTGGTTATTTTTGATGAAAAATCGTTTTGAATTATTTCATATATTTCAAACTTTTTTAATGAAATTCAAACTCAGTTTTGTGTTTCTATTAGAGTTTTGCATAGTGATAATGACCGTGAATATCTTTCTCATTCTTTTAAACAATTCATGGCTTCTTAAGGTATTTTGCATCAAACTTCTTGTGCTTATACACCTCAACAAAATGGTATAACTGAACGTAAAAATAGACATCTTATTGAAACAACTTGCACTCTTTTAATTCATGGAGAGGTTCCTCAACATTTTTGGGGTGATATTCTTCTTACTGCTTGTTATCTCATTAATCGTATGCCTTCTTCAGTTTTAGATAATAAAATACTTCATTCCATTTTATTCCCTCATGAACCACTTTATCACTTACCTCTGAGAGTTTTCAGGTCTACATGTTTTGTTCATAATTTTAGTTCTGGTCTTGACAAGCTTTCTCCTAGATCACATAAATGTGTTTTTTTAGGGTTTACAAGATCACAAAAAGGATACAAATATTTTCTCCTTCTCTTAACCGTTATTTTGTGTCTGCAGATGTCACCTTTGATGATGTTACCTTTGATGAGTTGTCTCTTTATTTTAAAAGTCAATATTCACCTCTATCTCCATCCAATCCTGTCAACACTCCGAGTACATTTAATATTCCTGTTATTTGTGACCCTCTAACTGTGTCTTCTTTACCATTAGTTCATGTTTCGCAGTCAGCTTCTTCTCTACCGCCTCTTCAGGTTTATAGTAGTCGAAACCAATCACAACCACCACCATGTGACTCCACTCAAGTGTCAACTACTCTGTCTCCTCCGAATCTGACACATGAGTTTGACCTTCACATTGCCCTCTGAAAAGGTATTCGTTTTACACGTAATCCCTCTCCCCATTATATTGATTTGAGTTATCATCGACTGTCATTACCTTTTTATACATGTTTTTCCTCTATTTCTTCGTGGTCATTCCAAAAACTGTCCGTGAAGCTTTAGCCTATCCTGGTTTGTGTCAGACCATGTTAGATGAACTAAGTGCTCTTCATAATAGTGGAACTTAGGAATTGGTCCCGTTACCGTCTGCGAAATCTGTTGTTGGTTGCAGGTGGGTGTTTGCTATCAGAGTTGGACCTAATGGTACTATTGATCGCCTCAAAACTCGTCTTGTGGCCAAAGGTTATACTCAAATTTTTGGGTTGGATTATGGAGATACTTTTTCCCCCGTGGCAAAGATGGCTTCTGTTTGTTTATTTATCGTCATGACCGCTCTTCAATAATGACCTCTTT